CATGGTGAATTGATTTGTGTGATCAAACTACTGTAACAAAATTAATTTATTTTTCTTTGTAAGAAAACTTCATAATATTTTAAGGTACATCTTTTAATGTTTACAAATCTACTCCCATTTAATCGCGATTCAAATCAAAAATATTTATGAAAATATTTTACATTTACACTGCACTACAAAAAAATGCTTGATTTTGTGTTATTCGTTTCCTCAGGTGTGTTTGAAAACAAAATTTAGTAATGAAAAACTGTTTAATTCGTTGTGTGTACCCAAAAAAATTAGTTTACTCATTTTTATGTTACCTAATGATCATTTTCTGTTAAGTTCTTAATCCTGGTTTAACAAACCCTTACAATAGGTTTCCTGATCTTGGTTACGTTCTGAACTTCACTGATTTTGGTTACCAACATCAGTAGCAACACAGTTCATTATGGGCCAAAGCCTTCTTTAAAGCAATCCTCCATTTATTCCTGTCTGTGGCAACTCTTCTTCATGCTCTTATTCTAAAAGATTTTAAATTGTTCTCTAAATTGTCTTGATACCTAAGTACAGGTTTTTTTCGGGAGATAGAGAAGATAAAGATCAACACCAAACACGACCTAGTTCTTCATATGCACACAGCAGACTGTACCAACCAGAGAAGAATTAACGATAAAAGGAAACATAATCCAGTCTGAAGAGGTCGTCAAGTACCGAGGAGTTTATCTCGACAAAAGATTAAACTTTACAAAACACATCCAAGAAATCAAGAAAAAGGTAATAGTGGCGAAAATGCAGTCCCAGTATAGAATTTATCAGAGGAGACCAACTGGAAGAAGCTTGTAAGAACAGAAAAGGCATGCTACAAATTATTAAGTATAAAAAAATTATTAAGTATCAGCCTATTTAAGTAAATGATATAAAGTTACCTGTAATTGATTCTGCGAACTACCTGGTATAACATATAGACAAAAAGATTGTGTTGGAAATTTTTTTATAAAGAAGAAGAGAAACGAAAGTTGTACATGATGGAAAACAGAAATTCAAAACTTTCCATCGATAATAGACTATTGATCGAGAAGCAGATGTATACCAGTATGGGCATATTGCTCGTAGTTCTAGGGATGCACTAACAAGAACAACATTATGTGGCACCTCATTTAAAAGCTTTTGAAACACTGATTTTAAAAAGGTGTAATACTTTGGTTAAAAAATTCGCAGATTCTGGTCAAAAAACTAACCTAATGATCTTTCGTTGCATAGCAAGTAAATTGTTTTTTTTTTTGTAAATCCACTATCATAAATAAATAGTATTAACAACTTTACTTTTGTTTTATTGTGAATTTAAAAAATTGTACAACCTCGTAATTAAACTGGTTTGACGACAGTGATGTCTCCTACGAGGGTTGTGGCTCCTAAGGGTAAAAAGCAAGTTGCTCATTTATCTTTTGAAAAGAGGGGGAACTTGTTACTCTTTTGTTGATATTGTTAATGCAGTAGAAGGAACAGTTCTACTGGTTTTTATATTCCCAGAATAAGAAACCCTGTAGAATACTTAAAAGAATGATATCCAGCCTCAGCTATTGCTTTTGGAAACAAAAGGGGATATATGACATCAGAAGTTTTTCCTGGGATAATAAAACACTTCGTCAGTCACGTGAAATGTATTTAACAAAACAGGGTTTTGCTGCTTTTAGATAACCATAAATCTCACATTTCTGCGGAAGTAACAAGACTGTGTCGAGAAAATGGAGTCGTACTGCTGTCGTTCCACCCTCATACCACTCACAGGTTGCAGCCTTTGGACGTTGGAGTCCACGGTTCTTTTAAAACGCAATCTAAAGAAAAATGCGAAATGGTCACAATTTATGGTGAAGTTCGCCGGAATTGCCGTGAACCGGTAAGAATTTTTAATGAACGCCATCTTGACCGTTCAATAGACAGGCACTATTTTAAGTCAGCTGTAAGAAAACTTTTTGACACTGGTAGTGTTCAATATAAGAAACGGAAAAAAAGAAAGCGTCTATCCGAAGATAGACAGATTTCTGTGTCAAGTGAGTTTGTGGTTAACTCGTCTACTTCTACTAAAACTGTTGCTCACGTCTGTAAAGTAAATCAGAAAACAATTTTAAAGATTCGGAAGAGAAATTAATTTCATATTTACAAAATAAAAATGGTTCAAAAATTAACAAAGGATGAGTTAGATAGACGAAATATTTTGAAACCATGACAAAGAATATTTTCGACATAAACGACATAATATAAGCGACATTTTTTTTCATGGTCACGTTTATCGTTACAATGTTAGATATTGGTCTAATAAAAATATCAGATTATTTTGAGAAGGTCACACGTGATTTCGTATGGATGTGAAACTTGGATAATGACGAAAAAAGATGAAGCCCAACTCAGCACATGCGAGAGAAAAATATTGAGGAAAGTATATGGCCCGGTACAAGAGGAAGATGGCACATGGAGAATCAGGAGAAACGACGAGGTGAATGAGTTAAATGAAGGTTATGACATTGTAAGATTTGTGAAAAGTCCAAAGACTGTCATGGCTGGGACATTGTGCAGAGACAATAACGATGCAAAAACAATAAAGGAAATGCAAAAACAACAATACAATGGAAGCCCATAGGAAGGCGAAAAAAAGGAAGGCCCAGAACGAGATGGTTGGATGACGTGGAAGATGACCTGAAAACAATGAACATAAGACAATGGAGAAGAAGGGCACAAGAGAGATCTGAATAGAAGGACATAGCCAGACAGGCAAAGACCCATCCAGGGTTATAATGCCAAAAGAAAAAGAAGAATTTAAATGGTAAAACTCACCTAAATATGTTGTAGACCGAGATAACGCTGGCAATCAATACAAGAGTTCCCTCAAAACATTATATTTAAGCAAGACGAAGCTACGCCCCTTACTATGCCGTCATGGTGCGAAATTATCTAGATAATGTTTTTTCGACAAGACGGATTGGCCCAAGGGGACATATAAAGTGGCCACCAAGATCTCCTGACCTAACTCCATTAGATTTGTTTCTATAGGGTTACTTAAAATCTAAAGTGTATCATACACAACCAGATATAACCGTACTATTGATAAAAGAGTGTTGCCAAAAAGTTAGAGAAGAAACAAGACATAGATTGTATGACTGCCAAGAAGTAAATGGGAAACATTTTGAACACCTTTTACATTAAAATAAGTTTTAACTTCTAATTACTCTGCAATTTTTTAATTCAGTATTAGTTGTCATTTGCAGTTCGTTGCGTATCTTGAATCATTAATTTTGTTATAATAATTTAGACTGAAATAAATATTTTTTACTTCTGTTGAAAACAAAATATCATCTACCGTCTAAAACAGATTAACTCAAACAAACTCAAAAAATTCATTCAATTGTTGAAAGGTATGTATTAAAAGTTTTTCTAGCATAATTCAAATGGAAATTTTCGAACAAAAGCAATATACATTTTTAAAAGTATTTCAAAAGGTTTTATATGCGATATCACTTGATGTACTGTACTATTTAAAAAAATCAAAGTTAAGACTGTCACCTGATGAGGATTCTCGTAAAGTTCGAAACATTGATGCTATAATACTACGATTATTTTAAAAATGGACCAATTTATGCGTTTTTTATTTTGCTTATGTGCTAAAAATAAATAAGTTAATATGGGTGGGGGGTAACACTTATTCCAGCGCATTGTATATTTGATTAAGTTACATATATAACAGTTTTTTTATATTATTTTAAGTTTAATAGCAACACAACCTCAAGCATTTTCCATTTTCGACAATAATTACAAAAACAAACAAAAACTTTGACACCTAAATATGTACAAGAAAATAAATATATAATTTTGTAAGAACGAAATAAATAATGACTATGTACACTTTCAAAACTAGTAACAACAGGACATTTTTTCTTTGAAAATTGGCACTATAACAAGGAAAGTTTGGCACGTTTCAGTTGGCACTAATCAATGTCATTTCGGGGTTATTGCAAGTCGAATGTCTTTTAATCCGATTTTGTATTTGCACATTGAATATTTACAAAATGTTGGTTTAATTGTAGAATAAACAAGTAACACAAGTCGTATTAAGAAAATACTTGATTATAAGTATTCAATTTTTAAAAATATTTGATGACATATACAGTGTGTCAATTTGGAAAGGTATCACACTTGTCTTTACGGTTTTACTTGAGTCTCCAAAAGTTCTGAAAAAAATATAATGTATGTGGTGTTTTTTAAAAATTAGTTCAACGACTTTTAAAACGAGGTATCACTCAATCCCCCTTCCATTAAAGATTTTGGTGGTTGTGTCCACATTCGCTAGGGGGTTGTTGCAATTTAGTTGAAAACTGGTCTTAAATGTCGTCCGATGATACCTTTTTAAATTGACATACTGACAGACGTTAAATAAACGTTATATAAATCTTTTGTAAATCTTGTCTATATTTTCGTTAGAGAAATTAACACTTGAAAAAGTTCGCAAAACTTTAAATGTTAACTTTTTAAACACAGCATGAAAAGTTTGGAAAAATGTTTCACTTTTTTTAGAGAATAAAAAGATAACAGCTTAGTGCAGAAATCCACACCTATATTTAATTTGCATGATATATACCATAAATATAATTGTACTTAACAGATGATTCATTCGAGAAACCAATGAGTCAAATAATAAAATACGATGAAATCACAACAAAATAATGATCGTTACTTATTACCAAATATAAAAAATATATTACTCTGAATAATTTTAAAGTCATATTTACAGGTAATCTATAAAATGTTTTCATTTTTATTACCCTTCTATATCATTTGTATTTATTTAATGCTCAAAAGTCATAAATAAAATATTAAAGATTTTAAGTCCGTAAAATGAGTATAAAAATTTGATATTATAGGTATTTTCACATTCAAATAAGCCTATAGTTTCCATGAAAAGAAGATAACGGTTTGGTTACTTGAATATTCCACAATTTACCAACAGTTAAAACCCTTTCTACAGTTTATGTTTCACTCTCTACATCACTAATACACTCATCTTCCATGTCCATATCGATGTATTCTCCGTACTCGTCCGAGTTTTCTTCTTTCCACTTATTGACGTGGGAGCTGTGCTGCGAATTAGGGGAACCTGACTTATTTCCACCTGAATTCGTTTTGGCTTCTTCTTCTTGCTGCATTCGTTTGTGCTTGGTTCTTCGGTTTTGAAACCACACTTTGACCTGTAACAAAGAAAAAAATGGATTAAGTAAAAACAAATATAAATTTATAATTATATATAAAATAAAAAACGCAATATGGATTATAATATCTTTAAAAGTGTTTAATATTTACATAATAAATGAGATAAATAGAAGCATAGTTGAAAAAGTATATTTAGGAAAGGACTAAGTAGGTTGAAACAAATGCAACAAACAACTCCATAAAACCCGACAAACCAGCTGTATCTCAGCTCTACCTATTGGTAGAGTATCAGCATGGAAGAAGTATACAAGGCAATCAAAAATGTCATAACACACGTTTTATTAATATGGGACCCAAGCAAGGAGTAACATTTCATACATGCTGTCTATTCCAAATAGGAATGTATGGAGAAACAAGGAGTACCACACCTAGGGCAAGATCTGGTATTCAGACGAGATCTTAGATCCAACACTAGAGAGGCTGTGGGGCAGGAATATACTCTAATAATCCAATAATTAGCAAAAGCTTTGCCTTAGAGAATAATTGCACCGTCTTTCAAGCAAGGTTTTATGGGATACTGTTAGGTAAAAGCAGAAATAATGGGAGAGCCCTTAAAAAAGAGCAGATCCATTTATTGTCTGGCAGTCAAGCGGCACTGAATGAAGTGGCGTGGCAGAAAGTTGCTAGTTTGATGTGGTACTGCTTTAATGAATTAATTGAACTGGGAGACCAGAGCAAGGTTAAGCTTTTCCGGTTAATAGAGCATCAAAAACATCTTTTCCTTTGTTAGGTGCCGTGTCCATATTCAGACCTTGGCCGTCATCATGTCTACAATTTCCTGAAACCTTTGTCTATCGGCTACTGCGCGAGATAATTTTTTTACTGTTATACCACACAAAGATTTTTATGTCTAGTAAAATTTGTATATGCATATGTCAGTGGTTCCCAAAATGCTAGAAGTGTCGTGATGTTAGTGTTGTTAAATAAAGTAAAACAACAGAACCAGTAAAGGTAATAGTTAAGTTATAGTTTTAGCCATTATCTGGTCGCTTAAACTACATAAAAAATAATAAAAATAATCTAATAATCAAAATTCTTAGAGTTACATAATTGTTTGCCTGCACTCAGCAAAAAGTTCTAAAACACAATTTTGCACTTTTTAATGTCGATTAGAAATAAATATACATTTCTAGGTTCAAATACAGCTCCATATCAGAATTATCATCCCTTGCAACGTGCATTGAACTGCATATTATTATATTTTTTCTGAATGTTGTTCTACACCAGGGGTTCCCAAATGCCGGTCACCGTGTAGTTGGGATTTTATATATAATATATTGCCTCACTATCGAAATATATCCACTTTATAATTACTAAAAATGCAAGAAAATAAGTTACATAATGTTAGGTTTAACTAGAAAATAGATTTTTTTGCATTTTAGTAATTACATAGTACATGTATCAAGATAATGACGCAATGTAAAATATACCAAATTCCAAAGTGTACGGTTAACAGCTTTTGGGAACCCCTGGTGTAGAATAATATCTAGAAAAATTATAATAATATGCAACTAATGCCCAATACACCAGTTCACTGTATAAACATCCTCTTTGTATATTATTGCACGATGTTCCCTTTTTCTACCTTTTTATTGCTTTCTTTTTCACAGCTGGTTGAGTGATTAGCAATTGAAATATGGAACAAATATGGCAACCTGTTTCTTATGTAAATTAATGATATTGTAATTATATTTTGTAGCGTTATTAAAGCTGTGAATGACCTGGGTAATTACGTTTCGATAGCAAACGCGACGTTTTATACGTATAATGACTATACGGGGAGTGCTGTCAGTTTATTCACTAGTAACACCAAAATATAATAGGTTCTAATCGAGTAAATAGAGCATTAGTATAATTTGGACAATTTTAATTTTTGTTTATTTGTTACAGATTCCTGACTCAACAGATTTATTTTTATTAAGAATATTTTGGGTAATTTTTTAGACCATGACAATTGCTGAGACATAACAAGATCTGTCAGTATGGATACAAACCATAAAGCAATTAGATAAGAAGCAGAATTGTTTATGCATAATATCCAGCAAATAACATGGAAAATCCCTCTTATATTGAAACTTTTTTGAGGATACAGGATATACCACGAAGTCTACCGAATAACCACAAATACAAACGTTTGTTTAAATTACCACTCAAAGATGAATATCAAAACTGGATTTATCAAATCACTATAAGATAGAGCCAAAACACTTAAGGAAGATAAGAACGTGTTTACTGAGGATTTAACAAAAAATGATTATATATAGTCATGTACAAACAAGAAATGATGGAATCACAACAACATTTAAACCAACCAACACACTGAGATCAATTCTGTCCAAAACTAAACCAAACAACACACAGGAATATTAAAGAATGGCATCTATACAATACCTTGTGAAAATAACAATTCTTATATGGGATAAATCGCAAGATCACTAAGTATCAGAATAAATGAGCATGAAGCATCGATAAAATACAGAGATTCCGATAAATTCCAATAAAATAGTACACATGCGTAAAATAATGAGCGCAGACTTCAATGGAAATTTACATCAATAATAAAGAAGGAAACAGACAGCAAAAACAGAAAAATTTAAAACCACCAAAAAAATTTAACGGGCTCTGGTTACCAATGATAAAGACAAAAGTATGCAACAAGAGTATACCAACATTATAGAATTAATAGGCCAGAGATATCATCATCAGTTAGCGCTACAGCCCTTTGTGAGCCTTGGCCTGCTTCAAAACATTCTTCCATCCTTCTCTATCGAGTGTCTGTCTTCTCCAGCCCCTCACTCCAATCTCCCTTAGATGTTCCTGTACATCGTCCAGATATCTGAGTTTAGGTCGGCCCTTTCTTCTTCTTCCGACCGGCCTGTTTAGCATAGTTATTTTAGTGGGATCACTCTCATCCATCCGCCTAACTTGGCCCACCCACCTTAGGCGGTTTATTTTGATGGTCTTCACAATATTTGCGTCAGCAAAAAGTCTATAGAGTTCAAAGTTATATCGCCTTCTCCACAGACCCTGTTCGTTTACTACGCCATATATGGTCCTCAATACTTTTCATTCAAAGACTCGTAGTAACTCTTCATCTCGGGTCGGCATTGCCCATGTTTCCGATCCGTATGTGAGCACTGGGCGTATTATTGTTTTATAAAGTTTGCACTTTTTTGCTATTGACATACTTCTCGCTCAGTTGAGGGCCCAGGCCAAAATAACAGAAGCCGGAGACATATCTACAATTGTTCGTAAAACACAAACACATAATGCATAAATACATAATTCATATACACACACTAGTTTTAAAATTTGATATCATTGAAGGTACAAACACCACCCTTAGAATTTTCAATTAAAAGAATGGCTATTTGTCTATAAGATCGAGGCCAAATAAGTCACCTGTCAAATTTAGCCAACCATAAAATGTTAATTAATAAAAACTATAGATTATAAAAACTTCTTATTTAAAAATAATGGAAAGATTCAAACGTAGTTATGAGGTTCGAATCGTTTTATCCCTTTTTCCGCTTCTTGTCGATCGACGATAATAAATATAATAAAAAGTTGAAGTTGTGGAGAAAAATCTTGGTTTTATTGACAGCTACTACTAATTGCACTATATGATGATGTTAAGGTAACTATCTATAATAGACTGCGCTCACATGAGCTCAAATACCCAATTTATAATATCACAAATAATTCATACCTCAGCACAGAGGTTGTTCCTTCTATCATACTAACAAACTTTGAACTATGAGCTTACATTGCAATTTAATCTAGGCCGTAATTACAACACTTAGGAAGTTCAATTAGAAAATATATTATTCGGCAATTTATTTGGTTGTAGGTAAATGAACTAATTATTAAAATATTATATGATATGTTTTCACAATGTTTCAATTATACACGGTGAAATTATAAAATATTAAGAAGTTAAGAATAATGTGAGATTACAAATTAAGTGATTTATTTGTGATTGAACAAATAATATTTTTTAAAGATTTCTGAAGTTGAAATCGAATCTTCTAAAGCAAATTTAAAATTAATTGTGGTTTAATTTGATAATAACATAATATTGAACATTATTTCAAAATCAAATATCCTTTTAATAAAAGCATATTTAGTCGAAGATTGGAAAATCCTCTCATAATAAAAAACCAGTATTACCAATTTTTCTGCTATTATTAACACCATAACGCGAATATCCCTGTATACCTGCCGATCTCGGTTTTATATGCCAGCTTAATTAAAATATTTTGAAGTAATATTATCTTTATAGAGATACCATCGTAATGATCAGGTAAAAATAATTTGTTAATAAATAAATTATCAATAATTAATTGATGTGGATTAAGCTTAAAAGCAATCAGTACTAATTTTTATAAAGCAATTAGTCATACAGTTGAAGATATTTTAATAGCTAATTGGAATTAAATGGTAATTATTGGTAATAGCTGGAATATTTACTTAATGATGCGGTTTTTACACATATGTGGTGCTAGTTGGAGACTAATACATATATTTTTTATTTATAGGTGTAAATATTGTTTTTAGTTGTTGTATTGGCAACAGATATATGTATATACTGGTGAAAGATTCAATTTTTATATTGAAAATCAACGTAAAATCTCTCCTATTTTTTACATTTCTCAAAGTATGACATGCACTTTCCTTATATAACACAATACATCAAACAAAGACAGGAATATAATGAAGAAATTTCAATTTTTGTAACTGACAAGTGACAGTGCATTTAATGTATTATTTATAAATTTTCAATCCAATGTTGTTTCTTGATTTTTTTTAAAAAGAGTTTTTATAATGACTAATTATTATCTTAGTGTTTAATTTGTTGGGATAATTATATATATATATATATATATATATATATAATATATATATAACATACATATATATATATATATATATATATATATATATATATATATATATATATATTTAAATATGAGCTGAT